AACAACAACAACATTTGTAAGGTGCCATTAAGTAGTTCATGACCCTGAGCGATCTCACGCAAAACAGAGCACAATCCCGTCCAGTCCTGTGCCACACTCACAGTCAGGGCTGAGTTTCCGTCCACAATGGCAGTGACTCTGCCAGTCCATCCAGACTAAGGTATTTGTCTTAAGGTCCTTCCTAGGACTGCTTCCTCACCATTATCTGTTCAAAGAACCTGAAACAAAGCCTCACCGTCCTCTCTTATTATGAGCATTCCAATTACACTTCTTCCAAGGCAGAGTTGTTCCTGCTCTTTGCGTCTATGATATAGTCAATATGCTTCACCAACACTGCAAATTAGGTACATCGGTTCCTCATTCTCCCATATTCACTATCCGGCTTCTGTATACATATATTACTAACTGGAATATGGAATGTAAAAGTATAGGAGAATTGCAAGTTGTCAAAAATATAATGGAATGTATAAAGATTGGCATTGTCGGCATTAGCAAGTTAAGATGGTCTGACATGGGCCATTTTGAATCAGACAATCAGACGATCTACTGTGTTGGGAATGAAAAATTGTGGAAGAATAGTGCTGCAAAAAGACGATCTCAAGATTGATCCTGAAGTAAAGTGCTGTGATAGTTAGGATGCTATCTGTACACACACAAGGAAGAGCTATTAATACAACTGTTATTCAAATATATGCACCAACAGTGAAAGCCCAAGAAGAGGAAATTGAGGAATTCTACTGACTTTTGCAGTCTAAAATTGACCAAACATGCAGTTAAGATGCACTGATAATAATTGGTGACTGGAATGTAAAAGCTGGAAACAAAGTAGGAGGATTGACAGTAGAAAATTATGGATTTGGGAAGAGAAATGAGGCTGAAGATCAAATTAATGTGTGTACAGGAAGCCCGTGAAAATATCCATAGCACGAACTATCTGTAATTACACGAGTCTCTCACTTAACTCAGTGTCACGAGATCTGGTTGTTTGTGCCTATCTTGCCCATAAGCCTAGCTCTTCTCTTTGCTGGTGTTAAATCTGACCATTTTCTATCATATCATTCGGGTGGGGAATGCCCTCTGCTGTTCATTATGTTATTGATTATTATAAGCAAGAAGGAATACTCCAGCTCTAGAGCCAAACAGTTTAAACTCTAGATCTTTTCTCTTCCAGGTATGTAAACTTGGATAAATCTCCTAATTTCTCCCTCTTGTTTTCCTCAAATGTAAAAATAAACTAATTCACTGGCTGCTAAATAGAACATTAAAAAAATATAGATAGCTATTATCATTCACTATTTGTGTTGTTTTTCAAACATCACAGACACTGGTGGTTCAATAACAGAATTTGCACCTTCCCAGAGGAAGATTCCATTTAATTCCCTGAAAACACATCTCATGCAGAGCTACCACTATCTATCTATCTATCTATCTATCTATCTATCTATCTATCTCTGTCTGTCTATCTATCTATCTATCTATCTATCTATCTATCTATCTTGTTCCGATGATTAACAGTTTTCAACAGAGTTCATGGACTAGGACAGTCTAAGAAGAAAGGCCTGGCAATCTACTTCTAGAATCAGCCAATGAAGATCTCGTGGGCCACAATCATCCAATCTGCAGTTGATCATAAGGATGGCACAGGACCAGGCAGTGTTAGGTTTGGTTTTGTTCTGTTGTGCATAGACTTATTGGAGGATACAATCAAGCCAAGAGGCTCAGCCCTGTTTTGCTGTAGTAACACAGACAAAGAGAAAGAATGAGCCTAAACTCCAATTCCCAGCATCTACAAAGAGATATAAGCCTTTGCAGGAGAGGTCTGCCAGCTGCCTTGGGTGGGGCCACCACCATGCTCCAACACAGGGACACAGGTTTCCGTGGTATCGTCTTTCGGGGTCTAGGATTGTGCCTGCTGATAGGAACCCTCACAATTATTGTTGTTGTTACTACCAAGTCACAGCAGGTCCTCCAGAGGGGTTTCAGAGGCTGTAAACCCATAGAGGGAAGATTGCCCATCTTTCTTTCACAAAGAAGCTGAAACTGGAATTATTCAGCTATTTTAAAGTGGATTTGAACTGAGTGCCTTTGCGTTGGCAGCCTAACTCCCTACCAGAATTCCCTCACACAGTTATTAGTCCTTGGCAAGTGTGACCTTTTGTATTTCAATGAGGCAGCCTGGCTGTTTCTGTGACTCAGTTCTGCACATTGAAAGAGCTACGAATCCAGGAGGGGGCAGGACCAGAGGGGGCGGGCAGAGCTGTGTGGAAGCAGGAATCTGTCCTTGGAGTTTCACGAGGCACAGAAATCTCGAGTTGTGACTCTGTCACAGCCCCAGCAGGATATCCTGTCATTCATAGGTTGCATATATCACCACGGAGTGGCCAGTTCTACCAAGACCCCGAGATTTGGCTATTTTTTCCCCCTGGTCAGAGGCAGGTCTCATATATCTGCCCACTTCATTGCAATGAGAAAGACTTCACTGGGAGTCCACAAAGCTGCTTTAAAATAGCTAACTAGTTCTGGCAGTTGCCCGGCACGGTGAAGGAGCAGAGTCCCTCGCCATGCTGCGACACTTCATCATCTTCTCCCTTGGACTGAGTGTACAAAACTTCTGCTCCCTGGCTGAAACTACAGAACAGGTAAGACAGCACTTTTATATGTATCTGTATTTGTGTATCTATTTTTTTTAAACAGTCATCTTTCATTAAGCATTCAAAAGCTTTTCCCCAGTACATATGGTCAGGGATAATGTAAGGACTTCATAAGTGTGCTAACCCAGCTGGCTCTGTACTTGTGTTAAAATGCCTTTACTGGGATCTTTGAATGTAATTCCCTTCCAATTGTGGATTTTGATATTCATTCTTTTAGTGGCTTAATAGTCATATCGCTGTGAATGCCACCATCCCATATTCCAAATTGTATACAACTGTAGTTCTAAGGAGATATTCCTGTGTGATGTGAAAAGTTTGTACTCAGATGTTAAAGGAAAGGTTAGTGGTTTAAGCTCATTCAGCAGCATCAAGGAAGAAAGACCTGGCAATCTGCTTCCTTAAAAAGTACAGTCAAGAAAATCCAGTGGGGTTCCATCCCATTCAGGAGCACACGAGGCAGACAGGAGAATCAATCAATTCAATGACAGTGAGTTTAGCTGGTGCTGTTTTTGAGAGACGTGTCCTGGGGAATTCCAGGGTGGATGATATTTAGCTGAGGAACACAAATATCAGAGATGTTTAATTAAAAAACTGGTTCACACAAAATGACATCACAAAAGCAAGACTGAACATCAGATCTGCAGCCTAGATGAGGGATGCTGAGAGCTGACATGCGAAGTTTATTTAAAACATGTTTGAGCAAGCAATATATGTTGGAGATGATGTGGAGAAGTTGAAACTCTCATGCATTGCTGGTGGGATTGTAAAATGGTACAACCACTATGGAAAGCAGTTGGGCATTTCCTCATAGAGCTAAACACAGAAATCCATAGAACCCACATATTGCACTACCAGGAATATACCCCAAGGAAAAGAGAACTGAGACACTAACAGAAATTTGCACACCTATATTCATAACAGCATTATTCACAATAACAAGGAAATGGAAACAGCACAACAAACGAATGGATTGAGAAATTATGGTATATTCACACAATGCAATACGGTGCAGCACTAAGAATCAACAATTTAGTAAAACACTATTTAACATGGAAGAATCTAGAGAGCATTATACTGAGTGAACTAATACTGTCTCATAAGGACAAATACTGCATAAGACCATTATTGTAGATGTAGAAAGATAACTAGTAAGAAGTGTATAAAAGTCTAGATGAGGAAGGGGAGGGGTGCAGAGGATCAGAGGGTGGGGAGGGAGGGAAATCAGACTCTAGTGAGCAAAGGATGGGGAAAGTAAAGGAATTAGGAAAAATGCAGTGGGGACCTGAAAAGATGGAGTAATAATAGACATAGATCAAGGGTGATTAAATTTATAAAACACAATGTACTTGAGTGATAGTTTTAAACACAATGTGAGTGTAGGAATGTGTGAAATCCGACGTACATGAATGATATACAAGGTATACAAATTTTGTATACAAACCAATATAAAATAAAAATAAAATGGAAAGAGAAAAAAAAACGTAAAACACGTTTAACAGGAAGTGATTTCAGCTTCATTAATAACAAAACTTGAACAGGATTGTGTCCTTGAACCAAGCAAAGTATTCAACACCAATCTCACTCCAGATGGCTTTACTCTGACAACACTTTGCACAGAAATGCTGGAAGTTTTGTTCAATGGTTAAGCTCTATCTCTGCAATTAGATAGGAACAGCTTTAAATTGTGACTTTCACTTGGTCATTTAACAGGTGTTTATGGAGGGCTATCACTGAGCGCCACAACTGACCAGTAATTGATTCAGCTGTTAGTTAAGCAAACTACTTAATGTCTTTCCACTTGACTTTCTCACCTGCTTTTCTTGTTAGGCACTGTCAAGTTGATTTGTACCTCACAGTGACCCTGTATGGCAGAGTAGAAAGGCCCCATGGGATTTCCTAAGGTGAATCTTGATGGGAAGTCCTGGTGGGACTTTGTAAGGAATAGTGCTGCAAATCCTCTCTGGTAGTTTGAAACCGCCAGCAGCTTGGAGGGAGGAAGAGGGGAAATTCCCTTGGGTTTTACAACCCTTGGAATTTACAACCTTGGAAAACCTCCTGGAGGGTTAGATGTGAACCTGATCAGTCTTGATGACAATGAGATGAGACTCTTTATGGAAGGTGGCAACCAGTTCTTTTCTCCCATAAAACCGCTTGTGGGTTTAAACTACTTTCCTTTCTGTCAGCAATCAAGCACTTAAGCATCATGTCACCAGAGCTCTTCCTCAAGCTTTCAGTGCTCCAAGAACAGCTCCACTGCCATAGAATCAATTCCACTCAGAAAGTGATCTCTATGAAGAGGAGTAGTAGTAGTAGTAGTTGTTGTTGTTATGTGTCATTGAGTCAGAACTGACTTGACTTAGGTCAAGCCTTAGAAACCCCTAGGTTTCTAAACCTGTACACTTTACAGAAGCAGATTGCTAATCTTTCTCCCACAGAGTGGCTGGTGGCTTTGAATCATAGACCTTTTGGTTGGCAACTGAATTCTTCAGCACTGGGACCCCAGAGCTCTTTCCATTGATGATGTCCATCATCATCAATATCATAGAGTTCTTGTGTTAGACCTTGACTGATGTATGAGACTAAATTTACTTTTCAGAGGGAACAAATCTGTTAAGTACATAGTATATGGGAGGTAGAAATAAGCCATTTAATTGAAAAATGACAGCCTGAAGATCAAGAGATCCCATGAAAAGAGGATCTTGATTCTGATCTACAGAAGTAAAGGCAAGGCAATGTTGTGACCTGCACCTAGCCAAACAAATAATAAAATAAAGAAGTAAAATAATAAAGGTTTATTTAAAAAAAAATGGAGGTACAGTCATGACCATGCTTAGAAGTTCATTCAAATTGTATTTGATAGTGGTTTTTATTATTATTCCACAAAAAAAGTTGCTGTTATTATTACTAAGGCATATTATTATTATTTCCAGAAGATATTACAGAGATTCATATTCATCATTTTCACTCAGAAAATGGATTTTATTCTTATCTTGGTTACTGGGGGTTCAGAAAAGCTCTGGTGGCCTCGTGGTAAGGATATTCTTGTCAAGATAGGCAATAAGAAAAACAAAGAGGTGGGGATGAGCAAGAATTACAGGAACTAGTATTTACTACCTGTAACGTTCCAGATACTGTGCCAGCGGATGTGCATGTGCTACATCATTTAAAGCTCTCAATAAGCTTGTTGTTGTTGTTGTTATGTGCTGTCGAGTCACCTGTGACTCATAGCGACCCTATGTACAAGAGCCCTAAACCCTGCTGTATGTACTCTGTGCCAAACTTGTCTCCGACATATCTACTCCCACCACTCCCATCACTGAATCAACTATCTCATTGGAGATCTTCCTCTCCTGCACTGACCCTCCCAAGCCTGAGGGAAAAGAAATAAATGAAAACTTGTTGCCATTGGGTTGATTTCAGCTTATGAGGACCCATGTGTTACAGTGTAGAACTGAAGTCCATCTGGTGTTTTAAGTTATAATCTTTAGGGAAGAACATCACCAGAGCTTTCTTCCATGATACAACTAGTTGAGTTTTGAACTTTTTGTCAACCTTTCAGTTACCAGTCAAACAGGAACCATTTGTGCCACAGCAAGGACTTTTATAACTTTTAGAGCATTTCTTCAATGATATTGAAGAAATCTTATATTTGAAAACAAATATTACATACTTTGCAACATATACAAAAACACGTGAGCAGTCAAGTGAATAATGACCACAAAAAGAGATATCCTTAACCTCTACCTGTAATTAAAATTAACTAGTATTTATTGAACACTTACATGCAGCGTGAAGAGGGAGTCAAGACTTTTTTATTCTTTGAAAGCCTACAATCTCCAGCTTTTCTAATAATGTAAAACCAGTGAATTCTTAATACCTATCAGACATTACTTTCAAATATTGGGGTAACTTAGGAGTCTGGTAAATAAGGTTTCTTTTAAAATATTTTTAGTAAGGTGCTCTCCTTTAAACTTTAATTTCTATTTTCCTACCATTAGTTTTAGCAACATGGATAGACTACAGAGACCTGGTGGAAAAGATTGGTAGGTTGTTAGAAAATGTTTGGTCAGTTTTAAAGGATTATTAATTCTGATTACTTTTAAGCTTTGGAACCATTGCATTTGCATGGTTTTACTATACAATAAGAGAGAACATTTCTTAATATCTCTCCCTTTACAGAACAAAAAGGTTGTTCATTCATTCAAGAGTGTATATTTAGCAATTTAGAATAAATGCAGGATACAAAGCTTTTTTTCAAACCTAGGTCATTTGAAAAGGTATGGAAATAGGAGATAGGATGCATCCCTGGCATACGCCCTTCCCAATTTTAAAC